TGTGTGTGTGTGTGTGTGTGTGTGTGTGTGCTTTTGGGAATGCTTTTCGGAGGAGCTTTTTTAGGGTTTGTGCGAGAAAAGATAAAGCCTGTTATAGATCTAATTAATCATGGTAAAAATACATAATCATGGAAAAAGAAAATAAAACCAACAATTTAAAATTCCTTTTCCGTTCTTTTGACGCATGGGAAGTAGCCTTGATATTAAATTATTTCCAGAAAGTATTACATGGGTGACGCCCCTTGTATAAAAAAGTCTCAACATTCTCTGTTGTCATTGAAACTGTGGAAACACTTTGAATACATTTGAATAATCCATCATTCTAAAAAGTCGAACTATGTTCGAAATCGAAAGCATTAAAAGCATAGGAAGACAGGCGGAAAAAAAAAAAATCTCCAATCGTGAAGATAGCGTTTGATCCAGATCTAGATCTAGTTTTGTACCTCAATTCTTTCCCATTAGACTTTTTAAAAATCTTTAACATAGCAACATATAAACTTCCGGTGTGGAAATTTCGCCCTGCACAATTGTCGGCTAAGCTTAGATACATCAAGTTAGGATTTGATTTAACAAAACTACCAAAATGAGTAAAGAAACAAATCTAAGATACGAACAACCACACAACCCTAGTAAATTATATCAAGAATATACAAAAAATTTGCAGGTGAGTAAAGAGATGAGGTTTATATTAATTTGTGCTCCAGTCGTGAGGTACCTAGATTCTGCCTAGATATATCTAGCCCTAGCCTAGACTAGAATAGATCTAGTTAACCAAGGCCTATGCCTAGGAACCTACACGCCTGCTACTGAACGTTCTGTACTTGTGTTTATAGTAAGACTAAGAAGAGCATTGATGAGCTCTCGGTTTAGGTGTCAAAATTGGCCAATTGTCAAAAATATCTTTAAGAAATAAAGGACAACACAGAGTAGATCTAGACAGCAATGGAAGATACTGGGTAGGCCTATAAAAATAATATATCAGTCGATATGCCGACTAGATAGCCTAAAGATCTAATCTAGATTAGATCTAGATCTAGAGATCTAGTAGGCCTATGATGTTGTAGACCTATGGATGTTGTGCCGATGGTGAAGTTGAGTTGGTGCCTTCGCTACAGTCCAGTTGGAGAATGGCAGTACCAGCCCCATTAGCTGTATGTGTGACTGGTTTGGGGGGGGACTATGTACGTGGGGTTGTGTGCTTTCTGCATGGCTCTGTTTCTTCAGCTGTGGTCAGGATAATTTCCTTGCCATATTCAGCTGCTTGCGGAGAACACTACGCCATCAGCTGCGGACAGTAGAGTTGGGTCGGGCTCGCAAAATTAGCGTCCGCGAGTAACGAACTACTCGCTGGCACTACCCGCGAACGAGTGGACAGGTAACGAGCCGTCCGCTTGTGAAGAGCAGTTCACTACTCGCTACACATCGGACAAAGACAACAGTTCGTTTAGCGAGTAAGCGGATGGGCGGGTCGGAGAGACTCCATGCATTGAGCGCACGGACGGACGAACGGGGAGCGACTCCTTCCATTGTATACTACTTACAACCCCCCCCCCCCCAAAAAAAAAGTATCCATTAAAAAATCACCCTCCTGCCCTACATTGTAGCTTGGCGTTCATGGTGGAAATTTTGAGTAACAAACCCGTCTGTCCGCTCGCCCCAACTCTAATGGACAGCAGCTGTGTCTTCCCAAGTCTCTGTGTTAATGTCCACAGCTCTATGTCATGCTTATTACAGACCTCTTTGAAGTGAGACTGGGGGTGGCTACTGTTCTCTTGACTGAGGCAAGTTCTCCGCTTAATATGTTTTTTGGTATGTGGCCATCTTCTTTTCGGTGCATACGGTATTATGTGGCCAAGCCAGTTTAGCCCGTGTTGTCTGAGTAATGATAACATGGTGGGCAGGCCAGTGGATGTGAACGCCTGAGTGTTGGGCACTTTGTTGCTCCATTTTGTACCGATGATGTGGCACAGACAGCACATGTGGAAACTGTTCAGTTTGCGTTTTTGCTTGGCATAAGTTGTCTATGTTTTGCCGTCATAGAGGGGAGTGCTGACGATGTAGGAGTTGTACACCGGTTGCAGTTGTCAGCTTTGGATTTTCCCAGATGTGATGGAGAAGCGTCCATATATAGGTTTGTTTGCAGCTTTGCCGGTGTGTTTATTGATTTTGGCGTCCAGAGATAGATTATTGCTTTTGGTGGACCCACGGTGAGTGGATGACTTTAAGTTCATAGCTGTCAATAGGGATGACAGGTGGAGTGTTGGCATCCTGAGTACAAGGTTTAGGAACAATTAAGGACACAAAGATATGAAAAAAAAACAGGACTAGCAGACATCCCCAGATTTATACTCCGACAAAAATGGAAATGTGCTGGTTACGTCTGTAGAATGAAGGATAGCCTATAACGGATGGGCAAAAAGATGCACTGAGTGGGGACCAAGAGCTTTAAATGATGAAGAGGTAGACCATCAGAGAATGGGTTGGTACAACACGAGGTACAGAGAACAGCCAATAGGACAGACTGAAGGTCATTGTTGAAGGGCTACATGACATCTTGCTGTTGACAGGACAATACCTTGAAAGAAAGAAGTCTAATATAAGAAGAGTGTTGGACTGCTGATCTACCGAGTGCTTCCCCATTCACACTCCTATTCACATTCATATTGCCATCATCGCTTGTCATAGTGAGGGTACTTAAAGGGTGGATAAAAAAAGTAATGAAAGTTGTGAAGTACCTAAAAAAATCTTTAATGCAGTAGACTTTGTGTGCAGTATTTCAACCTTCACAGCTGCTTCTGGAAGGCACTACAGTGGCAGTCAGCTTCTGGTATGCCTTGTAGCCTTGAATATACAGTTCTTGCTAGGTCCTGAATGCATTCAAACTTTTGTTGAGCACAGAAGTCACAGGGAGTTGAGTCAAGAATACAAAAAAATACCCCAGTTGCTCAATGTCGTCCTGGCAACAGCAGGAACATATGAAGCATGCCGATGGCTTGATTTCTCTGATGTTCAGTTCAACCTACTGTCTTTCTTGGGTGACCTATGATCAAGTGTTACCACGCTTTTTGGTAAACAAAGACCTTAACTTTATAAAAAACAAAGAATAGAAAAAATTAAACATGTGGTTGGGAACACGTGCTGTGAACACCAATTGAAGCATCAAAATGTTGTTTTTATAACGTTACCTACTTTTTAGAGTACTTGGTATTATTCACAAGAAAGGAAAAGGGGAAAGACTCAAATGACCAGATTTTTTTAAACAATCAGAAAGTGATACCTTTTTTTTTTATTGCCAGCATAGAAATATAATTCAAATAACTCTCATGTTTAATCAATAAACACATGTAGATAAGCCGAAATCAATAAACACATGTAGATAAGCTGATTTATTTGCACATACTGCTGTCATCTTGCTGTACAATCCTAATTTATGTACCATTCTTCCATTTAATGCTTGCATTGTCAATTATTTTTATCAGACATTGTATCAATACCTAGATCAAACGGTCGCTTCTTTAAAAAAAGAATTACCAGTATTTCTGTATTACTGTTCAACTTTACATGTCTTTTTTTTTCTTTCAGGCAAATGATCAGCTGCTGATCAATGACATTGATCAAAAAGTGTGAGTATTATACATTGTTTTTATTGAGGGTTTACAAGTATTATTTTCAGAGACTAGAAATAAGTCCCTATTAGTCCCCAAGCAAATTTTAAAAAACCCAAACTAATAGACAATGCAGAATTCAAATAAGGGATGTGACTGGTCCTTAGCAGTGATCTCCAACATCTCAGCTCGTATTCAGGGAAGGAAGAGCAGTGACATACTATCTCATATTCGACTGGTGCAAAGAATTGCACGTGAACTGCCTCTTATCAGGTTTTTTAAAATTAAGAAATGAGGCAAAAATATATTTCTAAGACAAATCTGTTGCAAACGGATAGTTTAGTAACAGTTTTACAATACAATAAGGTCATATGTTTCATGACTCTGTGGAATCAAGCGCTCATCAATTTTTGGGCATCTGGAGTTATTGGTTCCATCTGAAAGCTGTTTAAGTGAGTAGTGAGTTTAGACTGAATTAATGTCAAGCAAATGTTGGTGACACGGGGATCAGATGGGTGGTCACTGGGGTGTGTCCTTGAGCAAGACACAACAACCCTAGCTCAAAATACAAGGCGCTGCACAGTGGCGAACGACAATGGCATGGTTGTAAACTGTCTGTCTTTGTGTAATAGTGTATATTTGTGTATGTATTTATGCATGTATTTATGTATGTGCGTATTTGTAATTATGTATTTATGTATGTAAATGTTTGTTTGCCATTGTAAACCAAAGTGCCCTTCCGAGACAAATAAAAGTGTAACTTATTTTTTAACTTACATATTTACTTGCCTTGCTTTCAATGACCTAAATATCATTTTATCTTGAAAAAAATTCAAGATATTTGCAATTGAAGGAAGTGAAGTGGTATGGCTTCAGTGGTGAAATTAACGAAAAAGTGGCCGCCAAAATTTGGTAACCCAAACAGCAAAAGAGTCTTTGAAAACTGAAAATTGACATATTTTGTGCCTTTAATCAATGTTTTTCAGTAAAATTCACATGGAAATGTGTTTTTATTTGAACCCAAAAGAGGTGAAGCCGAAAAATAAAAATATTATAAAAATGTCCAATACTGGCAGAAAAATGCCTGTTTCTCAGATTTTTGTATTCTGACGAGTGCCTGATTTCACCATGCTGCCTCACATATAAGTGCCGTATATTTGAGATCTTACAAGGGAGTAGCAAGCAAAAAAAGAAGGAGGAGAAATCAAGATGATAGATGTTTTATAGGAAAGAAAAAGCAAACCGCACCAGAGCACCTGCCAACAACCCATTGCAAACAGATGCACTTTGGACATTATCAATTAATAGATAAACTGTTCGCATAGGCGAACACCTTGCATAATATTATTATCATGGTGGTGTCTAAAACATTCTGCTTGTGGCTCATCAGGCCCATGTGGGAGTGCTGCTGATCTTTTTCTCTTTCTCTGAGGGCAGGTGAAGGCTAACCTTGGTCTTTTCTCTGCTTTTGACATTTTTTTTCTACCTCTTGGCCTTAAGGCGTAGGCACATACCACAGCCATTTAACATTCATTTTAAAATGCTTATGTGTTATTTAATATATAATATTTTCCTTCCTTCAGATGAAATGAATACTTAATCAAGTGGTATGGACTTAATAGATGTACACGCACTTTAATTATTTTCCAGAATATTGTTTAAAATTGTAATGTTGCTAAATATTGATGTATAATTTGCCTAAATTTTTTACAGGCTTGATCAAAGAGAGCTCCATGACAAGTGGTTTGAAAAGAGTAACCTAAAGGTGAAAGCCAAAGCATACCAGTTAGGGAAAAAGCAGTTGGAACAAGAAATGAAAATGGTGGCCAAGGCCAATCTACTGGTAGGTGCTGTGGTATTCATTTAGGAAAAATATCATGAAGGCTATTTGTCATCTTTACATGTTTGGAAAAATTTCCTGTTTTGTACTATGGTAGGTACAATTGACTTTGTTAAATATGAAGTCATTAAACACAATATTCCTTTTGACACGAAAGGCTTTCAAATCCCCTTTTTTTAATCCCTCTCTATTCAATGCATTGCGACTTCCCTTAACACAATAAAAAAATTTCCAGCAGACTTGTTCTTGTCAACAAAAAGTTGCCCATTTATTTTTTTTTCTGCTCACACAAAATGTGTTCTGTAGGCTGAGACCCTCCTTCAATATTTTTCTCTCTTCCCATGTGCACGAGGTGGTGAGAGAATTGGGATAGGAAGACAAGACGCTAGAAAGCTGGCGACCATCACTAATTCATTGGGAATGTTCCCAAAAGATTTCAGGTTCTTTTTTAATGTGCAGCTTTGATTGACCAATTCCAAGTTTTGTCATTTGTTTTTTTTCTTAAACTGAATACATGCTGTAGCGTGAAAATCCACCAAGTAAACAGTTAACCTGGTTTGAACCTGCATGAGGTTTTTAACAAGGTTTCCCTTTTTTTAATCTCCAAAGGTTGGCAGCTCTACATTTGTTATCAATGAATGAAAATCAGTTACACTAAGTTTTTGTTTTTCTGATTAGCGCTCTGCTAAACACCAAAACATTCTCTTGTCACCTGAAGTGCATTACATAGGAGTTTTACTGTAATGTAATGTTTGTAAAAATATTAAATCTCCTCTCTCATACTCAGTGAAAGAGATATTAAAGAGTCTTAAAATTCTTTCTTTTGACCTTATTAAATCCATAGATTACCTTTCTTTTCTTTTCTTTTAAATTGAAGACATTGTAGGGCTATGTGTCTCAGAAATATCTAATAAATTAGACTGATTACAAAAAAAAATTACCTGCTTTTTCACATTGTCTTGTAATATTTTGAATACTATGATTCTTTTCTTTTTCTTTTTCAAGGTTCGCCAGAGGGCCCTCGCTCTGCGGATAGAGGCAGACCAGAAAATGTATGAAGAAGAATTGGCACAGATGGGGAAGACTTTTCACAAACAACGTGTTTGAGACCCTTTGTATGGACCTATTTATCTTTTCGTGAGCAAAAGTTTTTATGTTGAATGGTGGAGTCTTGAGTAAAGCAGGTATTGAACAGAGAGGAGTAAGTGTGAGACTGATATATAAATTGTTGTAAATTTACTACAGAGTGCTTGTTGTAAGAGTCAAAATCACTTTTAAAAAATGGCTTGTGCATGAAAGATGTACCACTGTACTTGTTTGGACATACTAATATGTAGCTGTGATAATTGTCTTTCACTTTCAAGCTGAAAACCTTCACTGCATTTTGAAAATTTGGCTGACCTCACTCACAAAGAAGTCAATACTTACGGTAAAGACAGGCAAGATCTTGAGTCATTCCTAAGCAACAATTTAATGTAGAGCCTCTCACTCAGACTATAAGGTTGCCTTTTACCTTCTGGCAACGGCAAAATCTCATCTTGCAGAAAAGTAGAAGCCTATTTCTTGTGAAGATGCCTAGTTTGTCTTGCAGTATTTCTGCCAATGATGATCTATTGTAATATTTCTCCTTGTGGTCGTATAACAATGTTCTCTATTTTGGAATTACTCTTATGGATGCAATGTGTGTCTGAAAGTTGTTGAATATATGAATATAAGTGTCTATTTTGTGATATATATATTTTGTGCTATGCCATAAGGTTTTGTTGTAAATAATTATGCCTCATGTGAGTCTTTTCTCTCCATTTCGCGCTTCTTTGACATAAATCTTAAGTTTCATCTGATGTGTATTTTTCTGCCTATCTGTTTCTGCTAATCTGTATTACTGATGAGATAAAAGATTTCCAAGAAAATATTGTGTTGTTACAGGAACCAGTACTTTAAAACTTTCTGAGAAAGGCTATGAAAAATTCCATTTTATATTTTGAAATAGATTTTTATGATCATCAACAGCTTTCTTAAATCTAGAGCGAACCTTCTTTGTCTGTTTCTTTTACTTTGTTTGATTTACACAACATTGGCAATTCAAACGGATGCGCATTTTCAGAGACTCTAGGCTCATACTATGTTGACCTTCACATCACATTTTTATTCCTGTTTGAATGCATTAATGAATAAAAATTATCACACTAGGTTAAAGTTGCATGAACATTGTTCATTTCATAAGTAACTTGAAGCATTAAACATTTACAGATTCTAAAACCTCTGCTATAACTTTTTGGTCTTATGTCTTTTGATAAGAGTGCAATTGAAGGAAATTCTATTTTGTTTTGCTTTTTTCCGCCATCATTCATATGGCAATATTCTAGACCTTTCTTTGTTGTATATATTGATTATTGATTCATTCTTATTTTAAAAATGTCTTACTTTGACTACACAGTCAAATCTGCCTTTGCAGTTACCTCTCTACAGAGGCCACTTGTACTAACCACAGCCACTGTTCCATGACAACCGTATGTCTTTTCTATATTTTTAAGTTGTACATAGTGGTCCCTGTCCAGCACAGCCATAGTCCATCATTTTTGTGACAAAACAGCCTCATAGCAGTCACGTGCTACAAAAGTTTTCCGCTAACTCATCCTCAGACTGAGTGTACATTCAATCAGTGCAAAGATTATTTTTATTTTTTGAGGGCAAGTGTTTTACTGCGCTCACAACTGCATAAGGTCATATGAGCACGCGGGACACACGTAATATTTTCAGTTGGTAGGATATTTTTAATTTTGCGCAGGTGGAAAGATGATTTAATGATAGATCACTAGTTTGATGCAAATGATGTTTCAAAAGATAGTTGTTAGCTTTGTTCAGTCTAGTAGGTGACTATGAAACTCAGATCCTATCCATAGCAGTCACCTCTCTTTAATGGTTGTATTCATTTAGTTATTTTATCTCTGCGTTGACCAGGGGTTCCATGATGTCTTTAGTCAATAGAAAGTGAAGAATATGATCAATCTGTCAAATTTTAATAAGAGCTGAATGGCATTTGTTGGATGGGTTCCTTTTTCAACTCCATTTACACCAATTTCATGGCATAATATGAAAGTGTCTCGAACTCTAAATCCCTTCTGGGATGGCTGTTTGCTCAGTATTAATAGTATTATACTGTATTCCTGCATGGAGTACCCTTTTTAAAAAATCCAATGGCACTCTTGGCATGGTCATTTCAAAGATGGATGTTTAATTGGAGGTCCCTTGTATGACAATCCTTCCGTGTTGAAAGAGGAGATACTAAACTTGTATCATATCGAATTCAATTCAACAAATCATTTTTTTTTCTAAAAGGTGTCTCTAGCCTTGTGAGCTGATCAAATTTCACAATGTCAAAGCTGTTTGCATTGTTAGAGAATGGACTTCTTCTCTCTTCTCAATTAACTGCTACGCCACAGATGCCGATCATTAATGAATGAAGTTTCACAAAGGCTACCTAAAACTGAAACCTAATCAAGGTGTCCATCTCTGGTTGCTGAACAGAAACAGTGTTGGAATTGGTATGAAATGTTAACCTGAAAAAGACATTTGTATCTTTAAAAAAGAAAATGATTCAACTGTATTTGATCTTATGATATTTTCTTTGTGGAAGAAACTAAGATACTTCCACCAATAATTTTCTATCAGCAAGCCACTACACAATTCCCCTAAAAAAACTCTAGTTTCTTATAGCTAATGGTTATCACTACCGGAACCCCCTGAATGGGAGAAGAGTAGAATTATTGGGGGCCTGTTGGTGGGCACTTTGGCACAGTCTGTATTTTTCTACTTTCCTGCGTGACTATTATCAAGATTTATTTCTGTCAAAATGAAGCAGACATCACTCAAACTGACTTTCTGCATGTCCAAAGATCCATGGGATCAGTGTTGTTTTTATTTTTGTTCTCTTTCAACTCAAACAGTGGAAACATACACTTCAGTTTTCAACCGCACACATAAAAACGTAAAAGAAGAAGACAAGAGACTCCTGATTTTTTAACCATGATTTATCATATACACATCAATATCAACATTCACAGATCCGTTAGTACATGTCTTCTATTTTGTCAAACATCTACTCATTGACATCCATGCTGTGTTGCACAACAAACCCCATGCTCACCAATTGGGCTGTGTCATGACTTACTCTATATTATCAATAGAAGACGTGTGGGGGCATAAGATGAAATTTTAAATCTCTAGCACACTGCTCGTCATTACTTACGAATCAAAATGTGTTGTATTGTGCTATTTCTATAGTACGCAACAACAAAGAAAAAAAAAAGTAAAATAAAACTCTACAGGGAAGAGTATCTCATTCATCTCCAATACCACGAAATGATCATTAAGTGACAAATTTCTGTACTTAACGAATTGCGCTCTTCTTGTACTGATGTTTGTCATGCGATGTTAAATGTTATCGAAGCCATTACAAATGAAAGTTTGTTAAGTACTGGTAAATACAAAGATTTAACTTATAAAGCATCTCAGACTGGCAGCTTGTGGGTAATATGTAGCTAAAACAATATTATTAGTAAACATTCATACTTAAAATTAATCAGCAACCATATCTATCCACTCTCACAGCACGAGTTACAACATAACCGGTAACTCAAAGCTTCATTCACCGCGACATGTAGGGGATGGGAAAAGGAAAGCGTGATTTGATGTACTCCGACTGAATCGTGAAATTTGTGCAATGTAAAGTTGACACTGAACAAGAAACATGAAAACAGAAAGGCTGTACAAAATTCACTAAGAGGCAAGGTTTGCCAGAGCAGATACAGTATTTACATTTCATTTCCATGAATAATGTCACAAATGAAGCATGTTTGTTCATGTTTATTTTCTCTTTTACACAAAACGCATTCATTCAATTTTATTTCAACATTCATACAAACTTTGAGCACACAGCCTGATGAGTGAAAAATCATGAATATAATTAACAATCTATAAAAATTTGTAATATATGTATACATACATATACATTGTGACAATTAGGCAAGGCTAATAATAGACACACACAAAAAAAATTCAGGCCAAATTGAGAGGTTGATCATAAAGTACAATATTTCATTTGGTCAGAGCTCGTTAACTTAATTCATTCATATAGTTTGTTTAGATATTTACAACTCACTCACTCAAAACCAAACATGCTCTTCGGAAACACCAATCATTTAATTAGAGTCAGCACAAACAAGTTCATAAGACTCACTTATGACAGTGAAGGATATGTTGTTCCATTTCACCGGAAAGTATGGCAACTGCATGTTCATATTAGATATAGACATATATTATATACATGTATGAGCCATTCTTAAGAGGTCAGTTTAAAACACGGTTACAAGTAAATATGGTACCATTTTTAATTAAACAGCTGATTTTTGTGTTTTTCTGTCTGTATTCATTCCAATGATCAACTTTGGTATGTTCAAAATGTCCTAAAAAAGAAAGAATATCAAAATCACAACAGAAATGTTTTGAAATGACTACTGGCACCTTTTCGTACTCTACATAATCTGAGCACACTTTGAGAATCTAATTGTTTGTGATTGAGCCTTGTAAACTACATCCACATAACAATGCTAAAAAAAATAAGACGTTCGTTGACACATTTAGACTGTGGCCCGATTTCCTATCAAATGGTATAGATTCTTTTTTATTTTTAGACAAAGTGTAGTTTTTTTTATTCAATTCTCCTTTCATATCATTTCTCACAGTTGGAGAAAAAGAGACTATGTGTGATCACCCTTTAAGAATGGCTCATACATTTCCAAAGCCTGTTCTAGACTCACTTCTCCCAGTGTTCACTGATACTGAAAGTACAATATATTCTTATAATTAAAAAAAAACAATCAACATTATAAGCACAGCATCATGTAAGCCCCTGACAATTCAAAGGCCTGTCTTATCTGCGTACAACATGTAGGCCTGCAATTGCTGTAAGTTGCACACCCAGAATGTGTCCTCTTTTCCATTTTATATGCTTCATATTATATGGGATCTTGCTTTTTCACCCCAGTATGAAACTGGGGTTTATTTTCCAATTACTATTAGATTGTAGTCATTCTCAATTTTCAGACAGCCATATGGTCTACACTGTCCAGATTATCTTCAGTTAATGACCAGGGAATTTTTTTAAAATTTAGAGTCCAAAATGACTTTTTTCTTAGACCTTTAACAGCTAAAGAAGGATCTCTGATGCATGTGTAGCCTTCTCCAACATTTCTAGAGGCAGACTTTACATACCCAGGAATCAAATGTGTGAAAAATCTGAGACAAAAAAAAACAACCCATAGTATCCTTTCCCTGAAATTCAATTAGAAGTAAGTCCTTTGGCATGAGAGGACAATATTATACACCCTCGGTATGTACTTTTGAAACTAATAGAAAGGATATTTTGATCATGGTCATGGATTCCACTGCTTAATAACGTACTTTGTGTATCCCACTACTGGTACTGGAAAGGGAGATTTGTCAAACATTAAGATAATTGAGAGTTCTGTCCTTAGAAAATATAGCCAGAAAGCCTACAGGGAGAGAGGAAGCCAACAAAATTTTCTCAGCGAGAAGTTTCTCGAAGAATATCTCTTAAGTGTTGTAACAACAAAACACACTCCATAAAGATGTGCTATTGCAAACAAAATAATCTCTACTTCATTTACCAACACACTGTTGCAACATGGTTACGCCATGGATCTATTCATACTATCTTTGTACAGTGAGATGGAGAAAAACTTAGTTATGAACAGTCCTACTATAAATGATGGAGTTAAAATTTGAGAATAGTGAAGGAGAGGAATTGAAAGTGGCTCCTCTTGTTCTCCAACATCTAGGGCAACCATCACATAAGCATTAATAAAAAGTCCCATCTGTAGTGAAACATGCCATGAGCTATACCATCAACTTACATTGTAAAGACACCTCACAAGACTGAAAAGCAGAATAATTTCAATGTATTACATCCTTGCAGCCAACTGAGCTGAAATGAAGATATTTGTATACCATATATAAGAAACAGTTACAAATAATGAGCGCTCAAATGGAGATGTCATACTGTTTCACTAATTCACTCACACTTGCACAAATCTGCTCTGTTTCATACACTCTCCAAATCATATACAAAGGAGTCTGCCTAAACCAAAATCAGCAGGATCACCTGATTTTCTTTGATTAAGCCATGTTTTCAGTTAAGAGAGATTTCTCAAATGGCAAAGAAAAAAATAGGGATTCTGTTTTCTTTTGTTTTACCACTGTTTTCAGATTAACAATGTTTGGTCAAAGTGGACTCCACTGTATATCATCAAGACAAGAACAGGTCAATAATTCTCAACGTTTTCTTGTGGCACAATCAATCTGTCCCACTGTACAAACACTGGTCTATGTGATAAAATGATAAACACATATATCCAAATCGGCTTGATAAATGTGAGATAACCCACCAAGATTTTTCAACTTGCGTACTCTGGCATATGCACAAAATTTATTTTTTTTTAAAGAAGTATCCGAGAAGATCAGAGCAAATTTGCATTTATCGTAATGTACAAAACATTCATGCTTCAGCACATTGATAATAAGATTCTAAACTTCTTACCAACAAGCCAGCTACATGTCTTCTAAGGTACAATTAAGGTACAATTAATTGGATACATGAAACCTAAAGACAATCTGAGAAACATCTGGAAGTTTTGAGAAAAACTGGATAGGCAGGTCAGTCAGCACGTGCCATTTTTGTCTGAACAGGATTGGTAGTGTTACGTAGCACTCAAACCAACATAGCAAAAGCATCAACACAAAGTCATGAAAGCTGTACACAAAATCTAAACAGTTTTTCTCAAAACTTTTCTTCTGTGGGTTGATCATTTTTAGATCTCAGGTATCCGTATGGGAAAACTTTTGCTAGCAAAAAAAGAAATCAAAAGACCATTGTTACAAATTATACTACTCACGTGGCCAGTCTCGGCTTGGCCTACAAAGAATCAGAGCTTTCATCTCATTATCAACTCTGGTTCTTACACAGAAAACTTACTTTCAACAATTTCTTATCAATGGGTACTGAATGTAAATTTCAACGATACACAATTATGCTTATTAAATCAACAAAAATTATTCACTTACTCTTGAAATGTCACTTTGCAAGGTTTCTACCTTGCAAGAATAATCATGTTAGTGAATATAAAGTTTGTTTAAAGATTAAATTCAGAGCAGGATATTTATTCAATATGACAAACTTAAAACAACAATGAAAAACCTTTTCTTTCCCCATCTGCTTTGTTCAAAGGATGGTAATAAGCAAAATCCACAAACAATACATTTTATATGAAACTAAGGAAACTGGTCCTTAATTTAGCACTGTTTTAAGTTTTTCTTTAAAAAGAAATAATCTCATTTTCAAGGTATCAGACCTAGTAAATTAACAAAGGTCAAGAATAACAAACAGATATGCAGATTGACCTATACGGCACTCAATGCATTCATCTTGAAATAAGCTTCACACAAAACAATAATTATCCGATGAAGTAAGTTTTGACGTCCATATCAGATAAAGAGCCCTAGAAAGCTGTGGCCAATTTGCTGGCTTGGCTACGTAAGTGGACACGCCCCACAGCTATGATGTGACCATTCGGCACGACAATCCTCGTAAGATGGTTGCTCCCTCGTTTCTCGGCGGATTTACCGACCGAGACTATGACGAGCGCAGGACTTTGCCGCTTTGCTTCCACTGATGAAGGAATGATGAACAGAGACATAGTCTATCACAGATAGGCAGGGGAGCTCTTGTGATGAGCTCAACCCATCGTAAGGAAACATCTTCCTGACAGGTCTCCTTGCATCCAGATGAACTGACCCTTTAGATCACCTGAAAGTTTGTCACAAATCAGTCCCATAATAAATCTGAACTTTTCTCCTCTCAAACAACCAAATGAGTGGTATGGTACTCTTAAGCGTATCATAGCAGTCATTCTTTTTGAGCAGAGCAAAAACTTCAGGATTTGCCACAGAGTCCGTCAAAAGTATTAACAGACATATTGATATTTGCGAAGTTCAGAATAGCCAGCACATTTCTGATGGCTATGGCATTGTTGAATAAGGCAACCAGATGAGGAAATTCTCTCTACCGTCCACTTTCATCAGTTTTCTAATTTTGCTTTACTTTCCTCCCAGTGCAGGCACCATGTTTGTGAGTGCTGCCCCTTGGCAACACGATGAGCACTTGCGTTCCTGCACAGAGGAAAAAGAAATCGAAACAAACTTATTACACACAAGATTTTATAACAGTTTGACTTTAACCCTTTCAGCCCTTGACACCGGTACACTGGTGGTGCGTAAAACTGCCAGTATGCCTAGCCACCAGTACAGCACTGAGCGAGACCCCATCCCCAACCCTGCCCGCCTGAGACAATGAGACAAAATGTGTACGTAAAACAGCATTGACTACAAAATATGTTATTGATTATTTTGAAGATCTTTATTAATTAGATGCTGGTAATGACAAGGACTACCCTGAGTGGGATATGGAATGTGATTCTGACAATCATCTTAAGGTTAATAATTTATCGCTCAAGAGCTCAGGCAGAGGGGCACGATAGCCTCAGGAGGCCAGGGCTCAAAGGGTTAAACTAAAGTTTTTTTTGGTCAGCACGGAGTAGAAAAAGTTTGTATGCAGTGAGAAAAGTAACATATCCATTTATAAGCCTTCTACCACTGTTTTTACAAAAAGATGTACAGGTGCATCTAATTGTGATGTGGGAAAATTTGAAATTAAAGCGAGAACATAATGAATTTTTATCTTACCCATTGCCGAATGTCCTCCTGATATCTCTCGAACTCATCACACCATTGGTCAAACTTTCTCATCCACCGTTGTTCAATTTGTTCCTTACCTGAAATGGAAAACAATGAGATTTGAACTTATTATCAAGAATTCTTAATACAAGATGTATAAAATGTTCAGGTTCAAAACTAGTGATGTTACACCTGAGCCATCCACTTGCATAAATGTTTGCATAGACCAGATAAATCCAAAAGATGAAAGCTGAAGTTCAGACAAGAATAAAGAACTTCAGCAAAACTTTGCACACAACACCAAATTTCAGTGCAGATAACCTTTATCAAAACATAAAAACAAACTTATTTTTCTGTTATGGACGTGGACATAAAAAAATATTTTCATTGTTTGTAACTTCAATAATAATAATAATATAATAATAATAATAATAATAATAATAATAATAATAATAATAATAATAATAATAATAATAATAATAATACAGCGAAACGAAAGTTGGCATACGTGAACTTCATTTATTTTCTGTGTAGATGACATGAAAATACTTGTAATTGCCAATGTATTTTTTATTCAAAGGGGACAACTTTATTCATACTTACCTCATGTTAACTCGCCCGTGCAAAGTCTAAATCAAAGTGCTTGATGTTTAGTATGGCCTCTCCCAGCGTGATTTACTGCTACATATCGTCTGTTCATTGACTGAATTAATGTCCTTATAGGATAAGGCAAGCTGTGCCGAGGAGCATGACGGAAATGGTTCCAAGTAAAACAGTTGTCGTAAAGCTGTCACAGGGACACACGAGGGATATAGGCACGGTTTACTAGTGGATAGAGGCCAAAGTTTACGACACAGGACACGGCCTCAACTTCTCAAGGCGGCTTGGCGGGAAATAAACACACCGCGCTTTCCTCTTTTCCTGGTAGTACGCTCTGTGTTAAAATGGATGATTCAAGTGAACGTTCGACTCTCTCGCCTCCAGTTGAAGAAGACATTGATAAAAGATCATCAAAAGAGAAAGCAGCTCCTCGAACGATCCAAGTGTCATTCTTGCATAATTAAATAATTTTTTATCATCATTCTTTATGTTTTCAAAGAGCGTATGATACTTGCCAACGTGTTGCCTGTTCAAATAAATTGAACGAACCCACATCCTCCTTGTTTTCCTATCTATTTTGCTTTCCCGTCGTTTTTTCCACAACCACTGCACAACAGGATACATTGCCGATTGGTACTGGCAGATCTATGTCCCCTGCATGGCTTGTGCGGAAAGGAACACTGATCCTTTCCACTCATGCCGTGCCGTGCTAGGGTTATGATTTCAAATTATTCATTTAAGCAGCACAAGCCGTCGAACCGCAGGACAGAGGGACAGAATATACCGGTACATACCGCCCGAAGAGAGACGGTACGGTTAGGCACGAGTACACACGGTTTGGCTTATCCTGTGTTATTGGGGACTAAGGAATCGCCTGCCCTTCCTCGTGAAGTGCAGCTTTCAGTTCCCGACAAGTTTGCGCCGGGTGAGGCCTATTTCTAATCCTCCGGTCAAGGTCATCTTACAGCTGTTCTGCAGGGTTAAGGCCTGTTGATCAAGGAAGACTAGATCTAGTCCAGAACATTGATATGTGACGAATTTGAAATGTGTTTTGGCCGATCATTGCCGCTTGGGGTCGAGCGTTGCCATGCTGGTAAATTTCACCATGCCTTACCATGCAGGCCAGGAGATGACAATGAAGAATTTGGTCACAATACCGTCGTCCTGTGAGGTTGCCTTGAAGGGTGACCTAATTCAATGATGAGCAGAGATTCCACCCCATTCCATCACACTTCCGCCACCGAATCGTTCCACTTGACGGACGTTGGCTTGATGAAAAGTTTGCCCTTTTCTTCTAAACGCTCTTTCTGTTCTATCAGTGCGACGGAAAAAGAAAATGACCTAGACCACTGATGAATAAAACACTTTATACCAACGTCTCTGATACAATTGCCAATGCTTTTGCGCCCAAATTTGGCGAGTTTTTTTTCCCCAATGAAACCAGAATGGCTCCCCATAAAGGGCGATAATCCCATAATCCAATATCTCGTAAGAATCTTTAAAAAAAACTATTATATGCTAAAGGACGGTCCAAAGTGAATGACAATCTCTGCACTTGGTTGGAACAGGTTTCGAATATGGGTGTTGAGAATAACCAAATCCAGGCGTAGAGTTGTCACCCTTCGTAAGCTACTTCTAGGCCTGTCTTGGACAGTTCCAATGGTGTTAAAACTTTGGTTCAAACGTTGGATGGTTCTTCTGCACACATTTACGTGTCTTACAACAGCATGTGGCGCAAATCCAGAATTCATCATGCATACAGTGCGTTCACGTTTGTTTTGTTTTTTTAAATAAATTTTGATATATTGAAAACTGGTAAACAAATGACCCAAACATTAGGTAAGCGCTATTTGCAACGCCGCGGTCTGAATAGCTCCCGTGCTATTTGAAACGCCAGTAACGCCTACCGTCGTAGCCATCGTTTCTACATGATAATATTGTAGTTCTGCCTGAATTGTGGAAGCTTTCTCAGTATAAACCTCCTAGGATTTGACTCCTTTTTTTATGACGTTGTCTTATTCCGATCAATATTGGGTAGATCTAGATCTAGAAAAATCTAGATCTAGATTAGATCTAACAATTGTTTCTGACA